GAATGAAATGTTGTTTTATTTACATTCTGATAGAGCATTTTAAGACGAATACAGTGACCTATAATTGGAGGTCGTTCAAGGTTACGCAAGGTCAATAATGGAAAATAATTGAATGGAAAATAAATTATATTGAGCGATTTTCTTATACGATATATTATATTGACCGATATTCTAATTTTTAATATCAAAAACGGCTAAGTACTTTTATTGTATTCTCATTTAGTAGTTTGATGTATATACATATTTAAATTTATATTATATTTTTAATGTTACAATCGCTTTCTTGTTTACTTATGAATTGACTCTTATTGTCCTTCATCTTGTTTAATTATTATTTTGATATAAAGAGTCCTTTATTTTTCATTTTATTTATAAATTATTTGTTTATAGAAAATAAATTATTCGTCTTAAAATGTTTTATCAGGATGTAAATAAAAAATGTATCATTCCATTTAAAAAAACAGATTTTACCTTTGTCTATCCTTTACGCCTCCACCTACAAAACAATTATTGACATTACATTATGTGCCCCTCGAAACCAAGCAATTTTTGTTTAACATTTTTCCTTCTATTGTTAAAAACAAGCAAGTTATTCAGGTGATCTGTTTTAAATGCCTCACCCTGTATGTATATATATTAATATAATATATCTCCACAAATATATATTCTACATGTAATAAAAAAACAATTTTATTAAAAAATAGCATTTATGACTTTTGGCTTTTATTGCCGACTTATTATTACCGACTCCAAGAAAATGGAATAAGGATGTTTTATGGCTGTAATAACAGATTTTATCTCAGCAATTTTCTTTATTTTTAGGCGAAGTTAGAAAGAAACTAGAGCTTCCGATAATGTTAGGAAATAGAAAAAACGCAGATAAGGCGATTACGCCGAATGGATCGCGCGACGTTATCGAACACGCGCACTCTGATCGGTTTGCGTGCGCAACGTCACGCAGTATACGTTACGTTGCGCACTTCACGCCGCGCTCTGCGGCGCATTTCGACGAAAATCCCGCGTCTGCAGCCAAACGTCACGAAACAATTCGCAATATCTGTCCACCAATTTCAGCTCGCGGCCCGAGAATACACAGCCGTGTGTTTATTGCAAACAGAATCGTATATGTTTATTACGTCAAACACACGTGCTTCCGAATTTGACGCAACAATACAAAACTTATTCCTTCCTTTTCCTTCCGCAGCTACCTCGCTCTCGCGCTCGGCTTATTCCGACCGTCAGAAGATTTTTCGCGTTTATTCGACAGACTGAGAAAAAGATAAGAGGCATTTCAATTTTGAACGCGTGTATCGGATTCCTACCTTCGGCTGCGTGTTCCCGTATCCGGATACGCCGTATTCGCACTTCGCGCACTGCGCACGCACTTAAATCCGCTCTCGCCGTTCGATAATCCACTTAAACCACCTCCGTCGGCCGCCGGCGCGCGACTGTGGATAATTCGCGGTCGCGACCGGCCTAGATATATACCGGCTATATTTAACCGGCGTCGTCATCGCAGCGCGCGCCGATTGGCCGACGGTGGCGTCGCGCGACGCCGCGATTGGTCGCGACGCGACTCCGCGAATACGCGCCGGCGACACCGCCGTCCCTGCCAAGGAGGGCCGGGACTGACTGACTGACTGGCTGGCTGGGCGCGACGTCTTGGCCGCGACATTTGTTGACATGAAACTGTCAGGGAGAGTACGCGCGCACCGCTCCCTTACCGCGCCACGCCACCGGCATATTCGATCCGCGTGCGTGTCGCGCTCCTCTCTTATAGGCACTCCTAGAGCGCTCGATTCTGCCAGAAACGTCAGTTCTCCTGACAACATTGAAGGATCTTTAGATTTTTGCTGACGCGGCTCTCGCAACTGCCTGGAAAAAAAAAATAGACAGACAAAGCTCTGTAAAGATAGATTTGTGAGATCTTTACTTTTTAATTTACTGAATTAAAAACTGCTTGATAATTACAGCTTTATTATTAAACAATTAATAAAGATGTAATTATAGCTTTATAAAGAATATACAATACGTAATTTCCAGGGCTGGGCATGTATTTAAAATACGCTTAATTTTATTTTCTTCGCAATAAAAGTAGATTTTATATTTTATATTTCAGCGGTGTGTATACATGAAAGTATTACGTATTTTGTATTTAAAATTGAAAGCTTTATGCATTTCATAATTTAAATAATAGCATTAATCGTCAATATTTTAGTATTTAAAATACAAAATACAAAATACTTTCAATTTTTTATTATTAATATTGAAGTACAAAATATAAGATACTTTTATATACTTTCATAAAATATAAAATGCAGAATATTTTTATGTACTCCGCTGAAATACAAAATACATGATACAATTGTCTTACAAACACTGTTTTCAAATAAAAGTATTTCAAATACATGCCCAGCCCTGGTAATTTCAAACAAATTATATAAACGTTAAATAAAATACATGTATAAGCATCATCGGTCTTTTGATAACATAAAGGATATTTAGATTTTTACTGATCCGTTTCGAAGAAAAACTCTATGAAAAGTATTTACGCAAAAACTTCACGTTCTAATTTACAAAATTAAAAACCATTTAGTGTTAATTATTGCTACGTTAATACACAATTAAGAGATGTAATTATTGTAATTAGTAAATATTCCATAGAGAATATATATTTAATTTCAGACAAATGGAAGCGTTAAATAAAATATATAGAAACGTTAATCTCCTGACAATACCAAGGAGTTTTAAATTTTTACTGATCCTCCTCAAAAAAAAATAGTCGAACAAATTTTATGAAAATTTACGCGATTTTAATTTACATAATTAAAAATCGTTTGATGACAGCTGCAACATTATAGATATATACAATCAATGCAAATATAATTAGCGATTTAAAGAACATATTTAATTTTAGACGAAGCGCATGCGTTAAATAAAACACAGGTGGACAAATAAAAAATAAAAAAACGTTCGATGACGAAAGAAATAATATACAGAAATTAATTTTCATGACATTTTTATTAATTACTAACTTAATGAATAACTTGTTCTGTGTGATCTCTCTAATTTATTTTATATAATTAATTCTTTTGCCATGTATATTGCAATAAATTTTTTTTCGTCAATTAATAACGATTCTTGCGATCGTTAACTTTTCTTTTTTACAGCGACGGTGATTTAGGTCGATCGAACAGAATCGAACGTACGGCATCGTCGATCGTCGCAGGTGTGCGGGTGAACAACACAGATTTAGCGTGTGGTCAGGTTGGGTGGGTGGGCGAGATTTATGGCGAATAGAAGCGCGACGGTAATGGACGATCATTATTACCGCGGCCTGCCGCGTCTATTAATTTACTCGCGGTAGAGGCTTTCGAAAAGCCTTGAGAGGCGCTGCTGCACAGTGCCCTGCCCTGCTCGCAGCTATCCTATGAAATCACTCCGTTCTTCGGCAATGCAGCATATTATGCGAAAATCGCGCGCTAAAGTTAGTCACAGACAATTATTGTCACGCGCCGTGAGAACAAAAGTTGGATTTAGGATGACTTCGATCAAACTTTCATCAATATCCATCAATGTAGATTAACTTTAAACTTATGGTTTGAATTTATTCTTTACCTTTTTCTAATTTTCTGAATTAAGAAGAAATAATGCCTGGTTTATGCTTCGGTCTTAAGGTCTTAATCCTAAAATTCAGCCAATAGAGTTCAAATTTCGGTTAGAACTGGCAGCTTTATTGGTTGAATTTTAGGATCTTGGGATTAAGACCTGAAGCATAAACCAGGCATAAGAAGTAAGTTAAACCGAGATTAAAATTGAATTGTATTTGTAAAAATGAATATTAATTGGCGATTAATTCACCGAGTTAATTCTTTTTACTTTTAATACATAAATCATAGAAAGATTAAAGGTTATAAGTTGGGTAGTTCAAAATTTTGCAATAATTTTGCAAACCTAATTAAATTAATCTAACTATTAAATTAATTAGAATGATTGTTAATCAATGTCCTAAATTTTTTCTTTAAATTTTGTCTTACTTATTAAAATTAAATAATTTAATTTCAGTTTAATGATATCATTTATAATATTGCAATAATAAACCAATACTTTTTTAATAAATTGAAAGGAAATAATCTCTTCTCTCTTACTCGTTTATCAATTATTTTTAATATCGGAATATAAGTATAATACAATATAATACAATAAAACATTATATTATCGTGTAACTTACAATGTAGGTAAATTTATTACTTATTTTATTTATTTTATCATTAACGAAGCTTGACGAAGAAGCTTCTAAATGTTGACTCATAAAGATCTCTGAGGCTTTGGAGGCTTATACTACTGCAGAAAAAATCAACGTACTTTCTCGATGTAATCTCCCGGCTTGATGAAGATATGCAAAGTATATTGAGTAATAATAGTGGGTGGCGTATAGTTTACGTGTCCACCTGGTTCGGGCACGTTTTTCCGCACTTAGTCAGATATAATATGTCCGCAATTATATATGCTCCAACACATGATATGCTCCAAGTTCCAACACGCCCAGTTTGCGAGAGAATTAAATTATCCTGCTAGAATTTACAACAATGCGACAATCCAAGTTTTATCAGATTCTAAAATATATTATATTTTATATGCGATTATATATATATATATTTATATATTACATTTTGCTTTCTCGATTGGTTTTAATATTTAAACAATACTTATACCTACCTCTGTTTTATTTACACGAATCTTTTATTCATTAATTTTTTGTACAATACTTAGTAGCTGTATAGAATATCTAGTTTTCATATATTCGATTATATAAAACATAAGTGCATTGTTCTACTTGTATAATTTTTATGTATATTTTTCGACTTTTTTGATATGATTTGAGATTTATATGATTTGAAGGTTCAATCTATATATAATACATACATACACGTCCCGCATATTTGTTTTAAAATTTAATGACAACGCCATCTCGCGTAATGCCGACGAAGGGCGAAGGAAACATGGCGGCTCGCACGATTGATGAGCATGAGAGATGTTTCGGGATAGTTTCAAATATTACAAGAGCCGGAATCCTGTACCGGATTACAGCGACGTAATCGATCTCGAATGTCCAGATTGTATCGGAGTACGTGATATCACCACTCGTACATTCATATGAAAATTAATCGCGAATGTCGTTTTTAGGTTAGAAAGATTGAGGCGCACGTAACTGGTGAACAAATCGAGAACAACTTTGGTCTCAAGTTAATGAATAAATGGAGTATTTATGAGTTGCTGGATATTCCCGGTACGTAAATTTTCTACAAAATAACAATAATAATTAAAATTGTTTTTAAATAATTTAATATAAAAAATAATATTGCTTCTTTCTTGGAATGTCAAAACTTCATATCGAGACTTATTTAATCTTTTGCTTATATAGTAGCACTTTTAAAAATATTATTTATCGTAACATTTTATGAGAAATTGTAATTAATATGATATATTTAACTCTATGTACTTCCTAATCCTTGTCTACTTATTTATTTTTAGGTCTCATCTTTATTCAGAATCCATTTACACCCAATGGCCAACGATACTGGATTACGAAATGCTTGAAAGATTATTCTAAGGAACCATACAAGTTGAACATAGATGCTCATAATGTTTTAAATAACGAAACATGGTGGAATATATGTTTTCAGTAAGAGAATGATTGAATTTATACTTGTGTTATTTTTTACATAATAGTAGAATTTAGATTTGTGATTAAAGTAATATGTTTAGTAAATATTGATTTTTGTATTCATTAGCTATATCTAAGAAAAATCTATATTTATATATTAAGTTATTATTAATCTATATTTATATAGGGGAGAATTTCCTAAATCAGACCTTTTTAATTTAAATAAATATGGTTAAGCAGATTTGCGTGCTATTTATAATGTAAAGTTCTTATGAGGCACCGAACATGTGACAGCAGTTTGGCAGTACTCTGTCATAACGTTCATAAAATAAACGCAAATATGTATTTTCGTCTATCATGCAAAAATTTTTTTTAAAAAGAAAATCCTTGTAAATCATTATTTAAAAGATGTTAAAAATTTACTCTCCATTATAGTTCGACACAGGTAAGAGATACATCAAAATGGTCTGAAGTAAAAATGAAGGAAATAAATGATCTTTCAAACGGCACCATTGGTTTTATGATCGGACTTCATTTACGCCTTATAGAAAACAAAAACTGCAACTGGGTACGGTTTAGACCATTCTCCCCTATTATTTATAATTATTTATATATCTAGATATTAAAATTTCAATTTTTATTTGTTGTGTATAGAGCGGAGAAAGCTAAAACTCTTCTACCTAAGTTGCGATGGGCGACATTAGGATACCATCACAATTGGGATACGAAATTATACTCGGAAAACTCGAGAAGCGACATGCCGACAGAATTATCTGGCCTGACATCCCTTTTAGCAAAAGCATTAGGTTTCTCAGACTTTAAAGCAGAAGCTGCGATTGTAAATTATTATCGAATGAACTCGACTTTGGCGGGGCATACAGATCATTCGGAGATGAATATTACAGCACCGCTTTTTTCTATAAGTTTCGGGCAGACGGCAATCTTTCTGATTGGTGGTCTTAAGCACGAAGATCCAGCTAATGCTATTTTTCTACGGAGTGGAGATGTAGTTGTGATGTCAAAAAGCTCCCGTCTAAGGTATCACGGAGTGCCGCGGATTTTAGCAGCGTCGAAAGCACCTTGGGACGATAATTACGAAGACAATTGCGAAGACTCCCCCGCGTACAATCTGGACGATTGGCACAAAGCACGAACTTACATCGCCGAAGCTAGAATTAATCTGAATGTAAGACAGGTTTTGAAACCTGGACAGATCGTATTATACTAAACTGCATTGTAACTTTTGTACATAAATATTAAAGATATTTATTTTGACAAAAATACAAGCTTTTGTCTCATATTTGAGTGTCACCTTATATATTCGATTATTTTTCGTTCCAATTACATTTATCATTGTATATGTTTACAGGAATGAATATTAAAAATTATATATTAATATGTAAAAAAATATTTATAACACAATATATTATACATATATATAATTATTGTTATATATATTAATACATATAAAACAATACTTATATGTATAATTTTAATACTAAATCTTATAGTATCGTACATGTGAGAAACACAACCAACGAGAAATTGCTTTTAACGATCAAGCTTGGATCTTAGATGCTATTATAAATAGAATATTTATAAAAAAATAAGTTATAATTATATTTTATAATAAGTTATAAATTATAATATGTATTAAATTAACTATAAATAAATTAAGTAATTTTACATTTTAAAGTTTATATTTCGCATTATTTGTTATATTACTTAATTTTTATTTGTTTTTGACAACCGCTTGGTTTTTAATCACATATATATGTACACATACACATTTTTTAAATCGCGCGCCATTGGAAACGCAATCACTAGACTTCCGGTCTCTTGTGTCAGCTGATCAATCCCGTTCCTGTCTGCTGATGCACAGTAGTCGACAATGTCAGGCAAAGATAAATTACCAATTTTTCCCTCTCGGGGGTAAGTTTCTTACTTTAACAAATTGATAATTACAAAATCTCGACTATTTCACTTATATATTTATTATATATCATTATTTATCGTTGAGTACAATTCCATCTTAAAATGTATCTCACAGTATTGGGTGTAACTCCAGCCTTCAACTGTTAAAAGAATGTAAATTTGTATTTAAATATTCTAATTCTCTTTCATTTTACTAGAATGTGTTCTATATGGAAAGAATTTTAATTTTCAAATATTTTTTGCACGGTTTATATTATCATTTTAAGAGACATTTGTCGAGATACGTTCAAGAATAAAATTGAATATTTTTTGTGATTCTTACTTTGCAAAAATATCTTGTGTGTATGTGTTTATGTAAATGTACATAATTTACAAATTCTGTATATTTAATGACAAATTCAAAAATGGATTTTATGTATAAAGAGAGCTAGTATATTTTAATTATTGAAAATACTAACATGTTTTAAGACTTAATAATATTTTATTAATATTATATTTATTTATATTGTAAACTATGCACATTATTAAAGTTTTTGTATATTTAGGGCCCAAATGTTAATGAAGTCTCGTTTACAAGGAGCACAAAAGGGACATGGATTGTTGAAGAAAAAGGCAGATGCACTGCAAATGCGTTTCAGAATGATACTGGGGAAAATCATAGAAGTATAATTAATTTTTTATTGTTAATTTTATTTATTATATACTGACTATCATATTCTGTTATTTAGTTTTAGTTGAAGTACATCTAACTTTATACATACTGTTATTTATTTATATATGTACTTACATATATATCACATGTATATTTAATTTATATATTATCTTTTTCTTATTGTTAGACCAAAACTTTGATGGGTGAAGTGATGAAGGAAGCGGCCTTTTCACTAGCTGAAGCAAAATTTGCTACAGGAGATTTCAATCAGGTGGTATTGCAAAATGTGACGAAAGCACAAATCAAGATCCGTTCTAAAAAAGACAACGTCGCTGGTGTAAATTTACCTATATTTGAGTCCTATCAGGATGGAACAGATACTTACGAGTTAGCAGGTCTTGCCAGAGGTGGTCAGCAGTTGGCTAAATTGAAGAAAAACTATCAGCGTGCAGTGAAATTGCTCGTAGAGTTGGCGTCGCTGCAAACAAGTTTTATCACTCTGGATGAAGTTATTAAGATCACAAATCGACGTGTCAATGCGATCGAGCACGTTATTATTCCACGAATTGAGAGAACGTTAGCTTATATTATTTCAGAGCTTGACGAACTTGAAAGAGAAGAATTCTATCGGTTGAAGAAGATTCAGGACAAGAAGAAAATTGCCAAAGCAAAGGTACAATTAGATCTTATTCTATTAATCTTTTATTCCATTATAATTCTACTAGTATTTGGTTTTTATTGATTAACATTCTAAGAATATTATTCACACATACTTAATATACTAATTATAATTTGTATATTATCTAAATTTCCTTCTGCTCATAGGCTGAAGCAGCAAGAGCAGTATTAATTGCAGCCGGACACGATTTGGACGCTACAAATTTGCTCGACGAAAGCGACGATGATGTGTTGTTTTAAGTACTGTAAATAATACTGTTATATAAATATTATGTTAATATATCTAAATAGAAAGAACATAAATTTATGTCAGAGTTACGACAATCTCGTTTGTACATTTTAGAGAATGTCGTTGGAAATCCCTTTTTCGCTTTAAAAAATTACTTACCTTGTATATCTCTCGAAAAATATATTTTATATAGTATTTGTTGGGCAGCAATTTGTACAAATGAGTAATCATGTATCATATACAACAGTATACAACAGTAATACTCTGTTATTTCTTAAAAGTATTCCGAGTATTTTAATTCTAAATAACAAAGAGTATTTAATTCTATATATCACAAATCATTCCATCATCGTTTATATTATTTCTGGCTTTTACGATGCAAGATAATTGTACGATTCGATAATATATTGTAGTAACGATTACAAATATAATAAATATGTATATATGTATTTTCTACGATTTTTTACTAATTATTAATCACTATAGTTTAACTTCGTCGTCCTTACTCCGTTCTTTTCAAATTTCTATGAGAACTTTATAATAGAATTAAAGAATTGCCGCGTCAAGTGCAATCTTTTGTATTTGATTTATTTGGTTAAATATTGATTTTAAAATTTAATCACAATCTGCTTAAACAAATTCCTTATTTTTAAATTAAAATGTACGTGCTACAAAGCACAATCGCTATAATTACATCGGTTAATAATCTTTATATTTACATAATTACGACATGGCACAAATAATGATAATACCTTAAAAAAATTGATTTGAATAAAATACAAATTGATGGTTTTATTAACAAATTGTGCATTAGATTAATCTGATTATTTTAATTTAACTTTGATTAATCTCTTTAAATAAATTGATTTCCCAAGTAACGTAACACACAATTGGCGTGTACAACTGACCCAGTGTACTCTTCAGTAAACTAGGTCGATCAATATTAAAGGGGTGGAAGGGATAGGCAGGTGGCAGATTTCTCATATGAGTGGTGGTGACCACCCTTCTTCACTAAGAGGAGATGCGCGTGTGGAAATTGCTTTCAGTGCGCGGCGGAAAATTCGTCCACCCAAAACATGTCGTCGTCTTCTAGCGAGGATTGTCTCACGATTGTGGATGTGCCGGAGAATCGCTATGACGCGGCAATTCACCATCTGAGATGGAACTTTTTCGCCGATGAACCGCTTAATAACGCCATAGGGCTTTGCGCGAGGGGGGAATCTCAGCGCGCACTTGAGCGACACTGCCTTCTCACCTTGAAACAGGGTTACTCCAGGATGCTAGTGGATAAGAAGGGAGCGGTGAGCGAGATTTCTCACATCACAAAAATATATTATTTATTTTTAGAAATAAAAAAAATTAATTTGTTTCAATTTTTTCATTTTTATTTGTTTATCACTACGACTTTATAACAAATTTAATAATCTGATATTTTTTATATTCTCATAATAATTTATTAATAATTAATCTTGTTTTGTTTAAATTTTTAGCTCGGGTTGACATGATCCGATTTGTTATTTTATACATTCGCAGGAATAAGAACAAAATAGACCATTATAAACATTTATTAAAAATCTAAAGATATTAAAAAATATAAATAAAAAATCTATCAAAAGATTAAGTAAAAATTTTGTAATTAATTGGTACATTATTATAGCAAAAATAAATAAAATATGTGACTTACAAATGTATTTTTTTTTACAGCTACTACAAAAAATTTGTTTTATATATAAATAGGCATAAACTTGTAACAACCCGTTATAACAATGCACACACCGAAAAAAAATTATTTTGCATTCTGGTCACAAATTCCAGACGGTTTTCTCTTAGTGAAGAAATTTACAGTATCTTATAGTTGTGACTTACCTGTATCTAACTCTTAAAAAATAAGAATAAAAAATCAATTATAGTGCGAAATTATATAATATTTTATTATAAAAATGTATAATATATTATAAAGTTAAAGTCACGTTATCTTTTTCTTCACACCTAATTAAAAAAAAATAACGTGACTTTAGCGTTCATTGTATCTGGGATGAACGGTATTGCAAAAACTGTCTAATACCTATGTTTCGTGAACCTTGCCGTTCACTTTATCAGGGTGAGGAGCGCACTAATATTGAGTATCAGTGCGCTTCTTGTCATAGATGGAGATTTCCTTATGGAGGATGTAAAGCATTCCTTAAAGCTTCTGTGGGTGTTGAATTTCACACCTAGAATTCGGAGTATTAAAAAAAAAGTTATCTTTTGTTAAATTTTTAAAAATTTTGAATGATTTTACAAAAAAACAGTATTTGACTAGGGTATATACTTATGTAGAAATATATTTCGTGCAACACACACATCCAAAAAATAGAAATTTTGTGTTATTTTAAAATCCCTTCCTGCTCTTCCCCCCCCATTTAGATGACTCCACACCATTCACACTCAGAAAAGTCAAGTCTCCGTCCTGCTTCTCGCCATGATAAAGTGAAGGTTGACAAAATGTAGACATTATTAAAACAATATGAATATTTTTCCATCTGGTTATATTAACTATTTAAAATAAAATAAAACAACATTTTGTTAAAGTTTTCTTAGTTAAATTAGTATTCATGGACTATGAAATAAAATAATGAAATGTCAAAATGCTTAAAAAATATAATGAAAAAGTAAACATTATTTTTGATCAAATAGATCCGAACAGAACTATAGGATTAAAAGTAATAATACATAATAAATTTATTATTAAATACTTTATATAATGTTCTCACTATTTACTTTATATGTGTAATATAACTGCAATTTAAAAAGTATAATTTATATTCATATTATATATATATAATTTTTTTAATTATTTAGGAATCTCATTTATTTGCAAAATAAGAAATTGAAGAAATTTTTTAATTTCATATTTTTAAAATTATATATTATTTTTTCTTATAACTCTATGTTTCTTTATATGATAATTAAAATCTTTTAATTATCATTTATACCTAATTAATCATAAAAAAATTAATTTTGTTTACCTTTTTCTTTTATAACGTTTTAATATGTGCTGATTTTAAGATAACACAAAAACTGAATATTTTTACAACTGACTTTTATCAGATAGCGGGAATGGCACTAAACGGTATCCTGAAGAAAGGTGAGCGCGAGGAAGAAGAACGGCGTTTCGATGAGTTAGATGACGAAAAGTTCAAGATGATCATGAAATTACTCTATAAAGTTAATGATAAAGTCGATTTGTTCGCCAAGTATGATGTGGATGAGCTGTTCGAGTGTCGGATCCTTAGCGTTGACGCGAATTATCGCGGTAAAGGTTTGGCCAGTATTCTTATGGACGATAGTGAGAAAATCGCTAAAAATGCTGGTTTTAAGGTACGTTAATTGGATTTTAACTTATTTGTAATTTATTTTATTTTTTTAATTTATTATAATTAAATTAATTATAGACTATATTTACCTATAATTAATTTATTTACATTTTTATCTCAAAATAAATTTTTCATTTTATCTATACGGATTTATTTATTTATTTACAGAGTGATATCTTATTTCTAATCAAAATTATCTTTTTCTTGATTTTTTGTAGACAAATAAAATAAATATGTAAAAAAGTTTTGTGACATTAGAAATTCGTAAAATGTACATAATATGTTTATGTAAAGTTATTTTATTGATTTTACGTGTTATAAAGAGGTTTCGTATTTTTTAAATTTTATTTCATTAATTTAAGATTATTGCGTTGGCGTGATCACTAGTTTGCATACATAGCACATATTTTCCTCTTGTTTCAGCATGCTCTTCAGTTAATATGCATGGGATAATACAATTTTTGTTTACTTCTTCACAAGATATAATTACAATCCATCGCTCGCACATTATTTTCCTTAAAAGGTATTTTTTGCACTTTTTCATATATACATTTCCTTATTGCACATCAAAGGGTCAGATTAACATGAATAAATTAATTTGTAAATTAATAGGTATTAATAAATAATACGAATAAAAATGACTAGATAGAAATATATAAATCAATATAAATGAATAAAATCTACTATAAAGTATGATTAATGGCAATATTAATTATGATTATTAATATTTTCGTTTTTTTATCTAAAATATTTACAAATTAGAAAAATAAAAAATAAATGCGTTTATTTATTAGATTTTTTATCTATATTATTAAGCTGACAAGGAAAAAGGGTTTATTGTAATTATCAAATAAAGAACGAGATATACAGTTTTTCAAAATTATTTTTATCTATCAAAGAGACTTTTCTTATTTCGATATACTTATTTTAAGATCTTCTTTAAAAGACTCAATGAGATCTTTTAATTTTATTTAAAATAAAATTTAATAAAAAAAAAAAGAGAAATATGATATAGCATATCACCACAGGTGTGTAAGGCCGATGCAACCAGCGCATTCTCAGTGAGAGTCTATTTGAAGCACGGCTACCAGGTGGAAGCAGAAATCCCGTATACAGAATTGGACAAGTCTATCAGACCGGCGTCGCCCCATCAGGCGTTAAAATTGATGGTGAAGGTGTTAGATTAAAGATAAAGTAAGAAAGTTGCTCGCTTGGAGAGCTTATAATTAAATTAAACCGTCAACACGAAACCGTAAAATGCAAAGTAGATAAAAGATATATGTATCATCGTCGTGTCGTGACAATAACAGCATTTAATGTATGTCTCGGTGTTGCGAATGACGTGACACCTTCTCATAGAATATCTATCTAAAAGCAAAAGAGACAATGTTATATTACATGCGTGTCGAAACGTTTCCGAATGGTATCCGGTATTATACTGCCCCTGCGTGTTCTGAACGAGAAATGTTTGTTGTTAAAGAAACGGAGACAGAAAAATAGAGAACAATTATTCAATGAAATTGAATAATTTAATGCAGCGAATGTGGGCGAATCAATTAAAGTCTATCAAATTCGGATCCTTTTATTTCTATTCTGCAAAGAAGTCAACATGACTCTAAAAGTCAAATCCAACAAACAAAAAAGTATACAAAATGTAAAATCGTCTAATTATTCAACTCTTGTGTACGTTGAAAATCATAAATATTTGAAACATAGATACCAATGATCAAAACTAATTAAACGACAAAAATTATATATAAGAATCTTCTTTCTAAAAATCCTGTTATATTATATACTAATTATATTAACAATTTCGGAACATTTTCTAAGAAAACAAAAACTTTAATATTATAATTTCTATTATTAGCAATATTATATTTTGTATCATATACATATATATATATATATATATTTATTTCATAATAATTAATAAAAAAAAGAATGGAGTACATACATGTGTATGTAGCAAGAATTCGAAGGAGATATAAAAAGGATTAAAAAGAAAATATTACAACAAAGTATCGATTTGATCAATTTCTAATAAAAAGAAAGAAACAAAAGAAAGTCACAAGTATCAAAGTACCAATACTGTTAAATTTCTTTACATTTTATGATTCGCTGATGTCATTGTGAAAAATTGTCCATGAGATACAGTAAACGTCCAGTTACACCTTTTTTCCCCTATTTTTTTCTCGTATGGCATCAGCGAAATACGATGTATAAGAATCTTCTTCTAACTTATATATTTGTTACGTTCTATCGAAAGCGGCGACTTCGGTCGTAATACGGAGGTGTTGCTCTGGATATAACGGGTCCACATAATTTTAAAAAAGTTATTCAACAAAAAATAGAAAATATTTTTGTCGGTGAAACGTGTTACGAAAGAGTATTTATAAAGTATACACGAGTTATTTTGTAAGAACGTCCGTAAAATGCGAATTATAAAACGATTTATAATAATTTGTATTGCGTGATGTATCCTTTAAAGAAAAATAATAAATTTCGATTTCTTATAGCAATTGAAAGAACGCGAAATTATGGCGTGTCTAAAGTTTGAACCTAATTTTAAGAGAAAATTAGGATTAAATAATTAAAACTAGAATAAAATCCATTTAGATGAGTAATTAAATCATTTAAGTTGCACTTTTGGTTGTATCTATAAATAATGTGATAATAAAATGTGATAGTACAGGGATAATCAACTTTATATTACTAAATATATATATTTTATTTTTCATAATTTACAACGAAACTTTCTAAAAAGTTACATATTTAGAATTAGTCATTGTAGGGGGGTTTTTGCCGTGTATCGCCAGGTGACGATAAATGAGTGCCTTCAATCTCTATCCTTTCAAGTTATACAACACATATACTTTTTAAACTATAGATCATAAACTCGTATATAAAGTTTCTTTTTCTTTTTTTATTACTTTAAGTCCTTGTACAATTTTTACAATGGCCTTCCTATATAAATCGCGCGGAAAAATCGCGATATATGGGCCTGGGATCGATCTGGAGCGAAAAATCACGAGTCGAGCATGTTAGCTCGAAATCTACGAGTAAGGATCAGGAAACAGCTATCTGACGCCCCCTTAGTTATTGTAGGTATAATTAAAAGTCCGTTTGTCGTCTAAAATGCTTCTGCAAGTTGTTTTGTTTGACTTGCAGCTGCAATAAGTGTTTGGCTTGAACTCGCTGAAAGTTTTGATTATCTTTTGCTGTAATTCGGGCAGCGTGAAGTCTTTTTTCCATAGACCCAACCGATGCATGCTTTTGCAACTCCTTGCGCCAGGAATAAGGATACTCCTTTTCCTTTATTATACATGCCACTTCGTTGGATAAATTCTGTTTATAGTAATGCGCCAAATCACGGTGGGCTATCAACTTGCCAGATGGTAGCTTCATCACGTAACCCTCGTCGTCTAAAACATCTACATCTGATAATTCTTCATCTGGATCGGCACTCTCAGCATCTGGATAACTGGATAAGTAATTATAGAAAGATGAATACTCGTGCATCATCTTCTCTTCAAACAACATTTTACAGTGGCCCTTGTCGATCATATGCATCCTTACTGCTTCTTTACTTTGCATCTTTCTTCCTGTAAAAATATACAAATTTCGATTTAACTTTTTTGAATTACAATTCTTTTTGTTTGATACAATTTTTAACTCTTTTTTATTTTAATCAAATATGTAATGGAGAAAACAATTAATTAACAAAAGGAAATTTATTTACCTGAATCATTACACCAAATACATTTGAATTCAGTACATATCTTATGTTCCAAGTATTTTAACAGGCCACCTAGATCAATGCAGTATTCAAGGTAAGGTACGAAAAACGAATGTTTTTTCTCCATGTGTATCATAATACACTCTATGGATTTATTATGATAATCACAGAATAAGCAATATTCATAGGTAATTTGATACTTCGAGTCCTCGAACCATTCGTCTGAATCTACAGATTCTACATCCGAATCTGTTTCAATATTCAGACAGTCATCTATATTCTTATTGGATATATCTTGTATGCTTGATGATTTTTTGGTATAAGTTATAGTTGTATCTTTTTGCTCCAACTTCTTTTTATGAGTTTTCGAGGCCAAGTGATTCTCGTATTGTTTCTGATTGTTGAATTTTTTCCGGCAAACTTCACAAATTTGTTTTTGCTTAGTCTGGGTTGAACTAATTTCACGATACATTGCTTCTTTCTTTTCAAAATCTTCAAGTGTGATCGAAGCCAATCCATTTGTCACTGTACTCATATTATACCTGTGCCAATCAGTATGATAATGATGTTTCAATCTGTTCAAATCTATAAACTTTACTTTGCATCTCCAACAAGTAAAGTATTCTTGAGGTAGACTCTCCATTTTGTATGTATTGTATTTTTTCTCTTCAAATAACTCCAATAAATCTTTTATGAAATTTCTGCTATATAAAAAACAGAAAGAATAATTATCAGCACAGTTTAACAATAAAAAAAAGTTTTACGTAATTGCAATTTAGCTTTTAAATAAAATATACAATTTTATTTCTTTTAATAAACATTTTTACTAAAAGATATACAGAGAGAGCTTAATACAAAATTTACATTTTTACATATATATGTGTATTTCATTGTATTTAAAAAGTCCATTTTGTTAACTGAAGCAAAATCGTAAACAAAGCTCGTAATAAGAAATAAAGCAAGTCATGTATGAGAAAAATAATTTGAAAAATTCTTGATACAATGGTCGCGCTCAACAGACTCAACTGTTGCGGAGTGAATGCTCACTGTTATTGGATGATCTAAAAGAATATACCAAGTGAGCGCTCACGGATCTGCTTCGCAACGCAGTTGAATCTGCTGAGCACGACCATAACAATATGTATCATACCACGTGTTTTTGAGGTTAGATGAATTATTGCATAAAAAAAGTAATAAAATTTTGATATTGATTTGTCAATTATATGACAATATATAAATATATATTTTAATTTTTATATAAAATAAAAAATCTCATATTCTATCATATACCGACTCACCATTACGACTACTGACTACACGACTCCTACCAATTAACAAAAGAATTGGAACTGTCACTGTGTTACATCGAAATGGGTGCAGACAAGACGTCATGACGTACAGTACGCATAAAGGTACATTTTCATGAGCCGTCTCAACTTCCAACCAGTCATTTTTGCGACAAAAAAGATAACGTGATCAAAATTGACGCTTAAGGGTCTGCGCACAATGGAGGAACAGATATTAGATATTAAAATATTAACCTATCCAGATACCAGTTACACCGAAATACACGATTCTGATAGGTTAATATTTTAATATCTAATATCTGTTCCTCCATTGTGCGCAGACCCTAAGTATTTGTCAATTTGGAGCACGTGATCCTTTTTGCTGAAACGGCCTGTTGGAGCGGCTCGTGAAAATGTATCTTAAAGGTGGCGGTTTTGGCGATTGAACCCAATTCTGCAATCTGCAGGCGCTCACTTTAAAGTAATATTTGCAGGGAATGGAAGTAACTCGTTACTTGTAACGAAGTTACAGTTACAAGTTACTTTTTTGGTAACTTTACTGGTAACTGCGTTACTTTCTTTTTTTGGTAACTGTAACGGTAACGAGTTACATTTTTTGGGTAACGGTAACGAAATTTACAGTTACTTTTGTCGTTACTTTGCACACGATTGAACACGGTTCGATTGGATACATGCTATTTATAGCGCTTATCAATAAGACTTGAAAGCCCTTAGACATTCGGCCGTTATGATTCAGTAATTATTTTACACTTCTATCTTCTATGTAATACATAGGACATACAAATATTTCAGTTTGCTGCATATTTTACAGGTTTTAGAATTACAAAATTGTGTTTAAAAAAAATTAAAAAATAAATTAAATAATAGTAAAATGAGAAGGGCTACGAACCCAAAAGCGAAACAGTTTAAAAGACGATGACAATAAGTGTCGAAACGTCGTTTGTTTTTATCTTGTTTTATCTAGTTATTGTTCTAATATATATTTATACATTTAATTACATTGTCATCGTCGTTCTTATCGGAAATAAACTGTTTCATTTTTGGCTCGTAACCCTTCTCATTTTACTTTTATTTAATTTATTATTTGAGCCATTCTACATTTTTTTTTTTTTTTTTTAATAAAACTATATATTTGTCAGTATTACATAAAAAAAAAAATGCAAAAGTACATTTTTAAATTGATTTTAAAAAAGTAACGGAAAAGTAACGAAAAGTTATTTTTCAAGTAACGGTAACTGTAACGAGTTACTTTTAAAAAGCGATAACTGTAACTAGTTACATTTTTTACTCGGTAACGAGTAACTGTAACTAGTTACTTTTAAAAAGTAACTTTCCATTCCCTGAATTAATAATTTATATTTCGTATTGATATTGGTAACTTAACACTTTGCTATGATTTTATGTACATGTTTATCAAAATGTAAACCTCTCTCTTGTGTCATTTCTACAATAGTTTGAGATAGAAATGATAATATAGGAATAGAATGAAATAGTAGAAAACTCGAAAGAATTTTGTAGGAAATCTTTCATAAATAATTGATATTTCTCATTAATATTTTATGATATGATGTTATAATTTATATAATTGTGTTATATTTTAGGTAATATAGCCAATACACTCAATCAACTCTATTAATAAAAGCTACAGCGACATTCTGAGTGTGAACACTACTGTTGTTAAATGTTTGGCCAATGCTGAGAAACGTGAAAAGGCAATAAATGTAAATAAAGAGGATATAAACTTGACAAAGGAAAAATAATTGAGTATAACAATTATATTTGTCTAATTATCATTAATATTAAGAATTTTATAATGTAATATGACATAAATACTAATTCACAAATATATGTGATGTGATTGATATATGTGTCATGTTATAAATTTATTGTTATATGTTACATATGATAAAGGCAAATGACAAACAGTTTGTTCATTATCATGGCTATAAATACAAAAAGAAATAACCATGACAATAAATAACATTGACTTCGATCATTTCTTTTGTATTATATCACAATGTCTCTTGACCTTTATTTGACAGTCAACACATAATAGTTTAGCATGAAATACCTTGGAACTAGAAAAGTATGTCATTCTGCGATATTAGGAGGTAGAACTATAAATGTAATATTTCTTTCATTACTGAGTTATAAAAGAAATTGCTTATTACCATATACAAATGTGAGAAACAATAAAAATTGTAGAATTTGTAATATTTTGCATCATGATAAAATTGCGATCATAAAATTATAAAATTGAGAATATTCAACTTTTTTAGTTCTCAGGTGTAAAATTACCGAGGACTCTCGTCTCTTTATAATAAAGTAACTATAGATTTGTTTTAGCAGTCTTGTAATCAATATTGATTAGTAAAATTGTAATTCGTTGGTGCGAACCTGTTTACTGGTCTAGACCACATTATCGGTCCACATCTGGAACACATTTATGGTAACGTACCAATAATTATGGAGCATGTACTGTAATATTGTGCCAATTTGTGTAAACTGAAAGTGTAGAACACTATTCATACAGGCTGGATTCGGGGAGACGCTATTAGCGCTATTTGTTTCATTTAAACAGTTTTTTATATTTCAAAACTGAATCACAAAAGATCAGTATTAATTTTAATAGAATTCTTATATCAAATTGTCTATTTTAACGTAATACATTTTGTTATTGCAAGATAATGAAATGGAAATTAATATATATATAAAAAATCTTGGCATACATAATGACGTATTCAAGTACATGTTTCAGATAGACTTATTGTTAGTCAAATCAGACGTAAGTTCGGAACTGTTGGGTATTACTGAAGAAGAAGAGAAGGGAACTGTTGTCTTTTTTACCTTATTATTTTCTTAAATCTAATGACACGTATCATTTGTACGCCAAGTTAAATTCTACCCTTCTTTCTCTCCGACTCGCCCCACTACTCATCATTGTCACTCTCCTTCATATATGTATAATATATTTTTAAATAATTCTTTAAATCATTTTTTATATATATTTTTGATACATCTGTACTTTAACATAATATATTATCACGAAAGTAACTGATATTAAAACATCTATGTAAATATATACAATTTATACTAACTTCGATACATTGTGCACATCCTCCCTCCTCTTCCTCTCCCTCCTCCCTTCCCCACTACTCATCTTTTTCATTTTATTTCACTATCTTGTCGTGTAATATGGATTTTTCCCATAAAATATATCGTAATATGTCATTAAATTGACATTAACATTAACATTTAATTATTTACATTATTTAATTACATTACATTTAATTATAAATAATCGTATATTGTAAATTATTGTACATTATGTATAAAAATAATGAAATTGCAGTACCTGAAAAATTGTGAGGGTTTTTGAAAGGAAAAGAAAATCGTAGTCGTGTGAAATTACATACTGAAACAGTTTAATTATTTACAAATTTTAACACTTTTCCTATTTTTTCTCTTTCTATTTTGCAATGATATTTGACGATTAATTTCTCGTACTCGGATGTACGTTCGCGTCCTTACTAAACATAAAATTACTTCTTTAGGTATTTCGATTTTATAGAATATATACCGATAATATAGAATGAATAGAACAGGAAAATTCTGTTTCTTATGCAGTCAACAAAGAAGTGAAACAATTAGTTTACACAAGTTGAAAAATAATGAAAATACATCAATTACTTTAAATATTTAATAAAAATTAAATAATTCTTTTCAGGGTAAAATGATTAGAACAAATGACTATTTTCGGTATGTCATTTGTATCAGTTAGTCCACATGCAGCTACCCACTTGACTTCCATTTCTTGATTTTTGGGTACCCAGAAATGAAGAAATGGAAGTCAAGTCTTCCATTTCTTGATTTCTGGGTACCCAGAAATCCAGAAATGGAAGTCAAGTGGATAGCTGCATGTGGACTAACTGATACAAATGACATACCGAAAATAGTCATTTGTTCTAATCATTTAGCAGTCAACAAAGAAGTGAAACAATTAGTTTACACAAGTAAGTTGAAAAATAATGAAAATACATCAATTACTTTAAATATTTAATAAAAATTAAATAATTCTTTTCAGGGTAAAATGATTAGAACAAATGACTATTTTCGGTATGTCATTTGTATCAGTTAGTCCACATGCAGCTACCCACTTGACTTCCATTTCTTGATTTTTGGGTACCCAGAAATGAAGAAATGGAAGTCAAGTCTTCCATTTCTTGATTTCTGGGTACCCAGAAATCCAGAAATGGAAGTCAAGTGGATAGCTGCATGTGGACTAACTGATACAAATGACATACCGAAAATAGTCATTTGTTCTAATCATTTTAGATCATGTGACTATTTAACGAACGACTCCTTTTATCTCCTTATGTGGAGCATAGGACGTCTATAGACCTCTTTTGTCCGAGGCCTATATTCGTTTCTCGAATCAGATTGTTTTTCGGATTTGTGGGTGATTGGTCCACAGAATCCTACCTCAGTCAGATATTAGAGACAAATATCTACTGATATGTATACTGATGTA